AGTTTTTCGATTTATTTTTGACAATTTGTTAACTTTTCTATTGTGGGGCTGCCACCCAGTCTCAAATTAGTGCCCCTTTTATTTGGAGTTTTAAATGACGGACGAGAAAACGAAAACTGATTTGCCACCGGGATAAATTTATCCTTCTATTAGCTAAATTTTACTTTGCAGGACTGACGAGAAAACGGCCCTTAAAGGAACAAATAGTACACTAATAATTCAAAAACAAGAAAGGAAGCTACCTTCGGCCAGCCGAAGCTTATATACCCTTGTAGATAAAGTAATGCTTACTCGGTGCAGTTCCAGGAATTCCAATTTTGTTTTTAAGTAGTCAAGAATCAAAACGCCTACTTCCTACAAAGTTACAATGAATTTTCTTATATTTGTTTGAATTTTCCTATGGGAGCCTTAAGATATAGTGGTCAGATCCGGCTCGCTCCGACATATGTACTACCTGTAATAGAAAGAAGACTTTCGGGAAAGTTTCATCGCGATAGCTTTAAAACTGAGAGACTAGTTCGCATAGAAACGGACAGACGGACATGGCTAGATGGACTCGGCTATTGGTGCTGATCAAGAATATATATACTTTATGCGGTCGGAAACGTCTCCTTCACTGCGTTGCAAACATCTGACTGAAATTAAAATACCCTCTACAAGCGTATAAAAACCCAAAAAACAATGAGCTGAAGCATTATTTAGTTTTTTCCTGCCATCGATTTGATTTGTTCTCGCAGTCATCGTTCCAATTTTCACAGTCAATAGGGTGAATTCAGAATTGCACCGGGAAAACTTTGCCTAACTATCGCATAAAAGAGGCCGTCAAAGTCCGTCAAAATTGGATGGCGGACTAACTGGGAAATTTTCGGAACGGCAAAACCTTACGGACCATCCGTTCAACGGATGGTAGATGGAGCTCTGTGGGAATACCCTATAATACCTTTCGTAGCCTCAAGCCTTTTTACCAGGCGTGTCCAAGAAAACACTAGAGTTTTTCGGAGAATTGCTTTTAAAAAGAACAAAAAACAAGAAAGGAAGCTTCCTTCGGCCAGCCGAAGCTTATATACCCTTGTAGATAAAAGAATGCTCACTCGGTGCAGTTCCAGGGATTCCAGATTCAGCGTTTCTATTTATTTAAATTTTGTTTTTAAATAGTCAAGAATCAAAACGCCTACTTCCTACAAAGTTACAATGAATTTTTTTATATTTGTTTGAATATTCCTATGGGAGCCTTAAGATATAGTGGTCCGTTTCGGCTCTCTCCGACATATGTACTACCTGCAATAGAAAGAAGACTTTCGGGAAAGTTTCATCGCGATAGCTTTAAAACTGAGAGACTAGTTCGCATAGAAACGGACAGACGGACATGGCTAGATACCCTTGGCTATTGGTGCTGATCAGGAATACATGTACTTTATGTGGTCGGAAACGTCTCCTTCACTGCGTTGCAAACATCTGACTGAAATTATAATACCCTCTACAAGGGTATAACAAGAAAGGAAGTTAACTTCGGTCAGCCGAAGTTTATATAAAATATATAAAATGTTACTTTTACAATGTCAAAAATCAAAACGCCTACTTTCTGCAAATTTACAATGTTTTTTCCATTAATTTTTTGATTATTAAGGCCTAGTACTCACTTCAATCAAAAAGCCTACGAAATGAAAATCTCCATACGAAATTTTGATCACGAAATTGTTCGCCTGTCATTATACCCGTTACTCGTAGAGTAAAAGGGTATACTAGATTCGTGCAAAAGTATGTAACAGCTAGAAGGAAGCGTTTCCGACACCATAAAGTATATATATTCTTGATCAGGGTAACTAGCCGAGTCGATCTAGCCATGTCCGTCTGCCCGTCTGTATGAACGCTGAGATCTCAGAAACTACAAAAGCTAGAAGGTTGAGATTTCCCACACATATTCTTTGGCTTCCTACGCAGCGCAAGTTTATTTTAGCCGAGCGCCACGCCCCCTCTAACGCCCACAATCGCCCACTAACGATTTTAAAATGGGTCCTGCGCCCACTTCTTTAAAGATTTCCGAGAAGTATAAATGCAATTTTTATTTAATATTTATACCTATCGAAATGTAGAAGACATTTTTCAAATCGGACCATTCATTAAAAAGTTATACGCTTTATAAATTGTCAACATATATCTATCTCCCTCGCACTCCCTTTAGCTGAGTTACGATTACACTATGCAGCATCAAAAATTTACCTCGATGGATACTATATTTTTGGATTTGTTACGAATTCCAAAGTTAAACTGCGTTTTCCAAAAAGTTCCCCGACGCAAGGATTCTTAGCAAAAGGACCTCAAAGTTCGAAAAATTCCGAAATTGGCCAACTTTCCAAAGCTCTCAGAGACAAACGGATTCATGGTTTGGTTAGATGCTAAAGTTTTATAAAAGATACACTCTTTATCTTTCAAACCCCATACTTAGAATAATTTTAGGATTTTTATTAAGGGAGAAACAAGTTTTAGAAAACATAGTCAAAAAACATAAAAGTATACAGCTGCGGTCAAAATAGTAGTAGTGTTGCCGTCATGTGTTTTTAAAAGTTTTTTGTTGTCACTTTTCTTATCAAATTAGTCTAATAGTACAATTATAATCAATACAATATCACCAGAAGAAGATGAATTACAACAACAAACTTTTAAAAACACAGGGCGGCAACACTACTACTATTTTGACCGCAGCTGTATGTTTTTAAGTTTTTTGACTATGTTTTCTGGAATCTATTTCTGCCTTAAAAAAAATCCTAAAATTATTCTAAGTATGGGGTTTGAAATATAAAGAAGGTATCTTTTAAAAAACTTTAGCATCGAATCAAACCATGAATCCGTTTGCCTCTGAGAGCTCCCGAAAGTTGGCCAATTGCTGCATTTTTCGAACTTTGAGGTCCTTTTGCTAAGAATCCTTGCGTCGGGGAACTTTTTTGAAAACGCAGTTTATCTTGGGAATTCGTAACGAATCCAAAAATATAGCATCCATCGAGGTAAATTTAAAAAGCACTAAAAATGCTGCACAGTGTTATTAGTCGGGACACCAACCCGACACAGCGTTCGCACTCCCTTTAGCTGAGTGACGGGTATTAGATAGTCGGGACACCAACCCGACTATAGCGTTCTCTCTTGTTTTTGTATAGAAAGGGCAGTTTTGTTGTGTGTATTTATACCTATGGAAATGTAGAAGAAATTTTTCAAATCTGACTATTCGTTTAAGCGATCAAAGTTTTATATATCCATCTCCCTCGCACGCCCTTTAGCTGAGTGACGGGTATTAGATAGTCGGGACACCAACCCGACTATAGCGTTCTTTCTTGTTTTTAATATAGCCTGATTGAAAAAAAAAATAAATTAAAATTGATCAAAATTATATAAGAACAAGGTTATCAACACGCCAAATTACGAAATCCCAGCTCAATCCCTTATTGGTTAAAAAAATCACGAAAAACATCAAAGATTTGCAGTTCTTAATGCATCTCCCCCCTTTAGCTGCGGCCCAAAGAATAGAAAATTTGATCTGTGGCTGTGTTTGTGCAGAAGCGGTGTGCCAATAACAAATTAAAAATGGAAGGAAAACTTCAAAAACCAATGGAAAACTGCCTGTAGGAGTTGCTGCAGTACATATCGTCATTCCAACAGCAAATTTAAAGCTTGCAACCGAGGTCAACTCAACATTTTGTAATATTTTAATATTGGCGCCAGTTGATTTGTTTGCTGTTTGTAAACCCAGCTGATTTACAATAAGACCATGCTACATGCAAAGCGGGTGAACTCTGAAAACTTCGGTCACACTATAAACGAATAATATTTTTAAAACTCGTAGCCGAACTAAGTACTAGGTTTCAACTATTGAACGGAGTTTCGGATTTTAAGAGATGAAATTCTTATTTTTCTTATTCTTATTTCTTTTACAATTTAATTGAAATAGTTAAAGATTGAAACGCCATCGTTTTCATTCTTGCGATACCTTTCGATCGGTGTGTCACTCGTTATGATCGGACCATAACTGCAGATGTAAAAATTGCAGAAACAAATAAACAACCCGGTTAACTACTCAGCTTTTATTTACGCAACGATTTTTTGAAATTCTTTTAAATCTAATATTACGCAGTCCGATTATGATTAGACTAAGATTCACTCCACTAGCTTCTTCAATTACCGTTGTAATTACAATATATTTCTTAGGTACTTGCGTTTGTTTCTTGTCTAGTTAGGATTACAAAAAATAAAATTTTAAAATTAAAGCAGACTTTGGTGTGGCTTTTAGTATTCTTCCGTGGTTCCTTGGATATGCGTTATTTGGATTAAAAAGAATAAGCTAACTAATGCAACAACCTATACACAATCCTTTAAGTCAACTGGTAAGTGTTAGAGAATGGCCTCCATAGCTTCATTGAGTTGGAGTTGTGCTGAAAAAATACATTTACTTCCAGTGGTGCATACAAATGTTAAAAACGTTTTCGGCTTGTTTTTGGGATCTACAAATTTTGCCTGTGAAAAAAACAAAATTATTCTATTAATTTAAAACATTTCGTCATCAATGGTTATTAATACATTTGTTATAAAAACATCCGTGCTTGTCTGAACTGAAAAATTTAACATTTATTATACTTGGGTTTCTATACATACTGCTTTTTGCCGATTTGAAGATGCCAATTTTTTATTAATGTAAATTTGATTAGAAACACTGGATTGGTATGTACAAGGATTTTATTTTCAATTTATATATTTTAACAATTCCAATTAAGTTTAACAATTATGACACTCGACGTTTTTGTTCTTCGTTTTTCTAACACTTAAGTCCGTTTTCTCGTCCTTTTGTTAAATTTAAAGTAGGGTTAAAGCAATGATTTCCCATACGATTTCAAGGTTTTAACCCTACTTCAAATTTAACAAACGGACGAGAAAACGGACCTTAAACACTTTACGCATGGAAAAACACTTGCGAATAATAAAAGAGAAAATAGAAATGTGGTTGACGTGGGACGCGTTTTCTGACTTTATGCATATTCATATATGGTTCTACTTATAAATGCTAGTATTATATGCGGTGGTGAAGATGACGTTTGTTGATTTGATCTATGCGGGTAGATATTGTATTTACAATACAAATTTGACTGGTCTTGTTTGTGTGTGATACATTTTAAAGTTTTGGCGACGGCATGATGGACGTGTCCCTATGAAAAAATAATATAAAAAGAAGAGAAGAAAACTAATTTGTAATGAAGGAAAAATAACAGTTCTTATGTATTAGCATGACAATGGGATGTGCGAAATAAATGGGTTAATATTACATTGAAAACGAATAACATTGATGTGAATCGTGAATATAAATGATAAATTTCTGAGGATATTTTTAATTAAAAAAATTTTGAATTTCGTTTGTAGTTTTTATTTAGCATTTTATTAATGTTTAAGTTAAACTTAGTTTAGGTATTAATAAAGTAAAATTAGGGAAACAATCAAGTACTAAAAACAGAAGGTGCATTAACTAAAGAGAAAACGAGAAACTTCAAATAAAACAGCTAAAAAAAACATAATAAATCAAAAGTTTAGGATAAGAATATAAAACAAAGGTTAATTTCGGGAGATTGTTGGGGTGGTAAGATAACAGGACATCGGAGTAAACAGGAGCAAACGAGACATAACGAACGCAAACAAAACACTTACATATGCTCAGGGTGATTGCGTATGCAATCAATTAAATCATTAGGCTTAAGCTGATTTGTGCATATTTTGTGGATAGCCGTGAACAGGGGAAATCTGAAATTAAAAAAAAATTTGTTGTAGAATAGATCAAGAATACCATTTGATTATAAAACTAGTCGTACTTGTCCTCTAGGCCCTTGTTCTTTAGCATGTAGTTCACCTCCTCGGCAGTAGGTGGGCCCTGCAGCTTCTGACCGTTTAGCATTTCCTTCTCCAGTTCCTCAATAGTTTTCCCGGAAGTTACGAAGGCCTCAGACACGCGGCGATTTCGTCCACCTGAGAGATAAAGCAATATTTGTTAAATAACAATTTAATATACAAATTGTATAACTTAAAAGTATCGATACTAAAAGCTAAACGCAGATAAGAAAACACGCTGCAAAAAAAAAGTGAAAGGCATAAACAATTTTTTAATATTATTTATTTATTTATTTTTTAGGGAGAATTAAAAAGCAGAAAACGTAGCCATATCATTCAGCTGCGGCCAAAATAGTAGTAGTGTTCACCTCTACGTTTTTTAAAGTTTTTTGTTGTATTTTATCATATCTAATTCGTCTAATCAATAAAGTATAACCAGGAGAGGTTCATACCGTGTAATTGTATGATGAAATTAAAATATTATTAGTTTATTATTAGAAAAATAAATAAAAACAATTGGTCAGCGATTACATTTTTCTTATTAGAAGTGAGTTTTCAAACACGTAGTCCCAAAATTATGAGTATTTTTATACCCGTTACTCGTAGAGTAAAAGGGTATATTGTATTCGTGCAAAAGTATGTAACAGCTAGAAGGAAGCATTTCCGGCCCTATAAAGTATATATATTCTTGATCAGGGTCACTAGCCGAGTCGATCTAGCCATGTCCGTCTGTCTGTCTGTCTGTCTGGATGAACGCTGAGATCTCGGAAAATATAAAAGCTAGAAGTTTGGCATTTTGCATGCAGATTTTAGGAGTTCCTACGCAGCGCAAGTTTATTTCACAATCGCTTAAATACGATTTTAAAAATTCAAATATTTCGGAAAAGTAAAAATGCAGTTTTATTATGTTTATTAATACCTATAAAAATGTAGAAGAAATTTTTTCAAATCGGACCATTCGTTAAAAAGTTATGCATGATCAAAGTTTCCTATCTCCATCTCCCTCGCACTCCCTTTACCTGAGTAACGGGTATCTGATAGTCGGAGCACCCGACTATAACTTTCTCTCTTGTTATACCCGTTACTCGTAGAGTAAAAGGGTATATTAGATTCGTGCAAAAGTATGTAACAGGTAGAAGGAAGCGTTTCCGACCCCATAAAGTATATATATTCTTGATCAGGGGCACTAGCCGAGTCGATCTAGCCATGTCTGTCTGTCTGTCTGTCTGTCTGTCTGTCTGTCTGTCTGTCTGTCTGTCTGTCTGTCTGTCTGTCTGTCTGTCTGTCTGTCTGTCTGTCTGTCTGTCTGTCTGTCTGTCTGTCTGTCTGTCTGTCTGTCTGTCTGTCTGTCTGTCTGTCTGTCTGTCTGTCTGTCTGTCTGTCTGTCTGTCTGTCTGTCTGTCTGTCTGTCTGTCTGTCTGTCTGTCTGTCTGTCTGTCTGTCTGTCTGTCTGTCTGTCTGTCTGTCTGTCTGTCTGTCTGTCTGTCTGTCTGTCTGTCTGTCTGTCTGTCTGTCTGTCTGTCTGTCTGTCTGTCTGTCTGTCTGTCTGTCTGTCTGTCTGTCTGTCTGTCTGTCTGTCTGTCTGTCTGTCTGTCTGTCTGTCTGTCTGTCTGTCTGTCTGTCTGTCTGTCTGTCTGTCTGTCTGTCTGTCTGTCTGTCTGTCTGTCTGTCTGTCTGTCTGTCTGTCTGTCTGTCTGTCTGTCTGTCTGTCTGTCTGTCTGTCTGTCTGTCTGTCTGTCTGTCTGTCTGTCTGTCTGTCTGTCTGTCTGTCTGTCTGTCTGTCTGTCTGTCTGTCTGTCTGTCTGTCTGTCTGTCTGTCTGTCTGTCTGTCTGTCTGTCTGTCTGTCTGTCTGTCTGTCTGTCTGTCTGTCTGTCTGTCTGTCTGTCTGTCTGTCTGTCTGTCTGTCTGTCTGTCTGTCTGTCTGTCTGTCTGTCTGTCTGTCTGTCTGTCTGTCTGTCTGTCTGTCTGTCTGTCTGTCTGTCTGTCTGTCTGTCTGTCTGTCTGTCTGTCTGTCTGTCTGTCTGTCTGTCTGTCTGTCTGTCTGTCTGTCTGTCTGTCTGTCTGTCTGTCTGTCTGTCTGTCTGTCTGTCTGTCTGTCTGTCTGTCTGTCTGTCTGTCTGTCTGTCTGTCTGTCTGTCTGTCTGTCTGTCTGTCTGTCTGTCTGTCTGTCTGTCTGTCTGTCTGTCTGTCTGTCTGTCTGTCTGTCTGTCTGTCTGTCTGTCTGTCTGTCTGTCTGTCTGTCTGTCTGTCTGTCTGTCTGTCTGTCTGTCTGTCTGTCTGTCTGTCTGTCTGTCTGTCTGTCTGTCTGTCTGTCTGTCTGTCTGTCTGTCTGTCTGTCTGTCTGTCTGTCTGTCTGTCTGTCTGTCTGTCTGTCTGTCTGTCTGTCTGTCTGTCTGTCTGTCTGTCTGTCTGTCTGTCTGTCTGTCTGTCTGTCTGTCTGTCTGTCTGTCTGTCTGTCTGTCTGTCTGTCTGTCTGTCTGTCTGTCTGTCTGTCTGTCTGTCTGTCTGTCTGTCTGTCTGTCTGTCTGTCTGTCTGTCTGTCTGTCTGTCTGTCTGTCTGTCTGTCTGTCTGTCTGTCTGTCTGTCTGTCTGTCTGTCTGTCTGTCTGTCTGTCTGTCTGTCTGTCTGTCTGTCTGTCTGTCTGTCTGTCTGTCTGTCTGTCTGTCTGTCTGTCTGTCTGTCTGTCTGTCTGTCTGTCTGTCTGTCTGTCTGTCTGTCTGTCTGTCTGTCTGTCTGTCTGTCTGTCTGTCTGTCTGTCTGTCTGTCTGTCTGTCTGTCTGTCTGTCTGTCTGTCTGTCTGTCTGTCTGTCTGTCTGTCTGTCTGTCTGTCTGTCTGTCTGTCTGTCTGTCTGTCTGTCTGTCTGTCTGTCTGTCTGTCTGTCTGTCTGTCTGTCTGTCTGTCTGTCTGTCTGTCTGTCTGTCTGTCTGTCTGTCTGTCTGTCTGTCTGTCTGTCTGTCTGTCTGTCTGTCTGTCTGTCTGTCTGTCTGTCTGTCTGTCTGTCTGTCTGTCTGTCTGTCTGTCTGTCTGTCTGTCTGTCTGTCTGTCTGTCTGTCTGTCTGTCTGTCTGTCTGTCTGTCTGTCTGTCTGTCTGTCTGTCTGTCTGTCTGTCTGTCTGTCTGTCTGTCTGTCTGTCTGTCTGTCTGTCTGTCTGTCTGTCTGTCTGTCTGTCTGTCTGTCTGTCTGTCTGTCTGTCTGTCTGTCTGTCTGTCTGTCTGTCTGTCTGTCTGTCTGTCTGTCTGTCTGTCTGTCTGTCTGTCTGTCTGTCTGTCTGTCTGTCTGTCTGTCTGTCTGTCTGTCTGTCTGTCTGTCTGTCTGTCTGTCTGTCTGTCTGTCTGTCTGTCTGTCTGTCTGTCTGTCTGTCTGTCTGTCTGTCTGTCTGTCTGTCTGTCTGTCTGTCTGTCTGTCTGTCTGTCTGTCTGTCTGTCTGTCTGTCTGTCTGTCTGTCTGTCTGTCTGTCTGTCTGTCTGTCTGTCTGTCTGTCTGTCTGTCTGTCTGTCTGTCTGTCTGTCTGTCTGTCTGTCTGTCTGTCTGTCTGTCTGTCTGTCTGTCTGTCTGTCTGTCTGTCTGTCTGTCTGTCTGTCTGTCTGTCTGTCTGTCTGTCTGTCTGTCTGTCTGTCTGTCTGTCTGTCTGTCTGTCTGTCTGTCTGTCTGTCTGTCTGTCTGTCTGTCTGTCTGTCTGTCTGTCTGTCTGTCTGTCTGTCTGTCTGTCTGTCTGTCTGTCTGTCTGTCTGTCTGTCTGTCTGTCTGTCTGTCTGTCTGTCTGTCTGTCTGTCTGTCTGTCTGTCTGTCTGTCTGTCTGTCTGTCTGTCTGTCTGTCTGTCTGTCTGTCTGTCTGTCTGTCTGTCTGTCTGTCTGTCTGTCTGTCTGTCTGTCTGTCTGTCTGTCTGTCTGTCTGTCTGTCTGTCTGTCTGTCTGTCTGTCTGTCTGTCTGTCTGTCTGTCTGTCTGTCTGTCTGTCTGTCTGTCTGTCTGTCTGTCTGTCTGTCTGTCTGTCTGTCTGTCTGTCTGTCTGTCTGTCTGTCTGTCTGTCTGTCTGTCTGTCTGTCTGTCTGTCTGTCTGTCTGTCTGTCTGTCTGTCTGTCTGTCTGTCTGTCTGTCTGTCTGTCTGTCTGTCTGTCTGTCTGTCTGTCTGTCTGTATGAACGCTGAGATCTCAGAAACTATAAAAGCTAGAGGATTGGCATTTTGCATGCAGATTTTAGGAGTTCCTACGCAGCGCAAGTTTGTTTCAAAATGGTGCCACGCCCCCTCTAACGCCCACAATCGCTTATTTACGATTTTAAAAATTTTAATATTTTGGAAAAGTAAAAATGCAGTTTTATTGTGTTTATCAATACCTATCGAAATGTAGAAGAAATTTTTCAAATCGGACCATTCGTTAAAAAGTTATGCGTGATCAACGTTTTCTATCTCTATCTCCATCTCCCTCGCACTCCCTTTACCTGAGTAACGGGTATCTGATAGTCGGGGCACCCGACTATAACGTTCTCTCTTGTTTTTAATTTGATGTCTGCCTGTAGCTGAAGCTCACTTTAATTAAGCTTCAAAACGTGCTTTGGGGGCCTTACCACCTTTCCTGGCCATATGTAACACTTACCGTAACAGGTCGTGATCAGATCAGCTACGCCACAGCTCTCGAAGAAGGTGGACAATTTGCTTCCGGGGTAAAATACGTCCACGAAGCGAATCATCTCCATAAGTCCCAGCCGGATAACAGCTGCTTTAGTGTTATCACCCAACTTAAGGCCATCGACAAAGCCTGCGCCGCAGGCTACGATGTTCTTAAGGGCACCACAGACTTCTACAGCGTCAGCGTCGTCCACAACCACTACGCGGAAGTGATTCGCCTGGAAGAGATCACGCAGCACCTTGCCATACTTTTTGTCCGTGCAACCGATGGTCGTTTCGCAGAAGTTTCCCTCAGCCACCTCGTTGGCCAGGTTGGCGCCCATCAACACGGCGCATGGGATCTGCGTGTAGAAGTCTCAAATGGATTAGGTTTTCTGGCGGTGTCACCTCTACGACGTCGACTTACCTTCAGGTGACGAGTGATAATATGGGAGATCAAATCGATGCCACCGCCCTCGGCCTTGTCGAAACCCTTAATCAGAGAGATAGCGATGGCGTTTGGCTTGATCTTGCCCAGGAGTTGTTTGCAGAAGTTGGGAATAAACTGGTGGGGCACAACAAAAATTAAAATGTCGGCGTTCTTGGCGGCCTCAACCAAGTCGGGCACGGCAACCTGTGGAGTGGGGGTAAAAAGTAAACTTTTCAAATTACTGTGATAACAAAAAAACAAAAATAAAAACTCCGATAAGCATGTTGAAGGTTATATGAAGGAAACTGCAGACGAATCGACAAAATCATATTTCTAGCACGTGTTCCACTTAAACTTTTGGAGGCTCGTTTCGCAGCAGTCTAGACTCTAGACTATTAAAATTGCCGGGCTCGCTAGATCGATCGCCTGAGCCTGATATGGTTGACTTTTTAAATATAAACATTAGGGTGGGTCGATTTGGGACCCCAAAAATCGTATAGGGGGAACGTAATCTTTAAAGGATTCTAAGCCATATTGGCGAACATACTTATGGTCTAAAATGACGTTTGACCCCCCCCAAACGCGATTGAAAAATACTGTTTTTTTGAGAAAAATATCATAGTAGTCAGCACAGATATATTACTGAATATCAATTTCCAATTTTTTTTTCAAATTTAGTAATACATGTGAGCTGACTACTATATTTTCCTCAAAAAAAGCTGTATTTTTCATTCGCGTTTGGGGGGGGTCAAACGTTATTTTAGACCATAAGTATGTTCGCCAATATGGCTTAGAATCCATTAAAGACTACGTTCCCCCTATACGATTCATCACTTTTTTCGGCCCCATACAAATCGACCCGCCCTATTAAACATACACATGTATATATTTTAGTTTTTACCAACTGACATGCTAGCCAACCTGTTATTCGCATTAGAAATAAGTTTAATATAGGGTGTTTTTGTTTTTTTATGGTTGATAATGCTTATGAAGGCACTGAAAATTTCAAAAAGGTTAAAGTAGATGTTTTTGTAATGCTATGCAAAGAGTTTCATTCGTTCTAGCAAACTAATTCAGGCTTTTCCCATGCATTTTAGCATATAATGTAATCTGGAGAAACTTTTTACTTTCTTTTTAATTTTTAAATACCATTTATTAATGGAAACTTTGAGCAGCAATTTCAACCTAAATTTAATGATTATACAGTCTGTTACATATTCCTTTTTTTTACTTATTGCAAATGAATAAACAATAAACATAAATTCAAATTGTTTTGTTTTTTCCTTTGCTGCAAACGGATTAACTTGCTGAGACATTTTTGCATATCTGACATTGGTCTCGATCATTGCTTATAGAAATTCAGATTCGTTTGTTTTTTTTGGCTTTTCTGTTGTTTTGGGTCCCCCAGTCCAACAGTCGCCGCCTTAAGGCATCTGAAAGTTTGCCAAAATGTTCGAATATATGTACATATCCATCTGTCTGCGTGAACAAACGCCGCAACATAGAAAAGTCTCCCCCAAATGTTGTTTGGATTTTGCTGTTCACCTTTACCAATTCCATGCCGTCAACGCATGACTATAATTTACGTTGGGGTTGTTCACAGGTAGTGGAAAATTAGGCTGTTTGTAGGGTAAACAGGGAACTTGGTGTTAGATCAGGTACAGATTCTCCACTTGTGCTCTATATGGATGGACTTTATCACCCGATCCATTTGAGCTTATCTATAATCGTTTCACAGAGCACTTCGAGAGCTTTGTGGAGCTCGTACATGTGTAGAAACACACCCGGTTCGAGTGGATCGCCAGCTTATCAACTATTGGACAGTCGGCTAATAGAATGTGTACCTGAAGTTTCACAAGGCTGGGGCCCTGTAAAGGGGTGGTCCCCGCACACCCACCGGCCTTGACCTACGTCAAAGACACTGGCTCTCTTGCAAAACTGCGCCGAGCAGAGCGCCAAGGTGGTGCGAGAGGTGTTGTTGCTGGTGGCCCTGAAAACTGCAGCAAGAGAGCAGCGCTAGAGAGCGACAGCGGGTGTAAAAATAGATGCGGATGATTAGATAATTTGGCGCTGCACGGCCAAGATCAAGGCGATTAGCCTTTTATGTAAACACATGGCTGTTAACAACCCGAAGCAGTTACATAAGCCCAATGGCCAGCTTTGGCCCCAAATTGGTAATGCACTCACCACATTGGGCGGAAGTTTGTGTCCTTTCAGGTACTTGACGTTCTCGTGCGTCTCGTTGATAATCTCCGTCAGCTTCTTGCCCTCAATCAGCTCCTCGTAGACAAACATGGTCACCCGCTCCTCGAATTCCGGCAGAGCGGCGGCGTTGGCTCCCACGATTTTCGCTATGGCCGAACCCCTTTGGTCGCAAGGTTAAGATTAGGGTGGAAAAGGAAATAGATGTGGACGTGGGGATAATTATGTAAGTGCATCTGCTGACGGCTAATTAAATGCACTCACCAGTTGCCGGAGCCCACAATGCACACATTTACTTTTTCTGCCATTCTGTTGTTGTTTTTACTCGTCAGCTATGCTTCTTCTTGTTGCTACTTGGCTGTTGGGTTTGGCGCGACTAATAATTGTACTACAAACTGACACGTCGAAAGCCGCGGCGACTAATGATTCTTAGTTTGCACTCCACACATGTTAATATAAGCAAAACAAGCACTGCGGCCAACAACAAATCGTGTGGATTTCAAGAGCGGAGAGAGGTCGTCTGTGGATGTTACAGCCTGTTCAGACAGATGGTCGCATCAGCGACCAAATTCCGCTAGATCAACTTTTTTCATTATACCCTTGCAGAGGGTATTATAATTTCAGTCAAAAGTTTGCAACGCATTGAAGGAGACGTTTCCGACCACATAAAGTATATATGATTTTGCGCTGATATTTGATTTTAGTTAGATGGATCCTAAACTAAGCTAAGTAATTTTAGTATCCCTGGATAATTTTCCAGGACAATACCTTTTTTTTATAATAAAATATTAATCTTTTAGTGTGACCGAAGTTTTCGGAGTTCATCCGCAATGCATGTAGCATGGTCTTACTCTCAGCAAACAAATCAACTGCCGCCAATTTTAAAAGATAAAGCCTAGTACTCAGTTCGGCTAAGAGTTTTACTAGTCGAAAAATATTAATATTTTAGGGTGACCGAAGTTTTCGGAGTTCATCCGCAATGCATGTAGAATGGTCTTACTCTCAGCAAGCAAATTAACTGGCGCCAATTTTGAAATATTACAAAATGATTAGCCGACCTAGGTCGCAAGCTTTAAATTTGCTGTTGGAATGAGAATATGTATTGCTGCAACTCCTACAGGCAGTTTTCCATTGGTTTTTGGGGTTTCATTCTATTATTTATTTAATATGTTATTGGCACACCGCTTCTGCACAAACACAGCCAAAGATCGAATTTTTTATTCTTTGGGCCGCGGCCAAAGGCGTTCATCAGAATTCATCCGCTAAATCTAGTATTTTAGTGGTATTTTCTTACTATTTCCTTAGCTCAACTGAGTACCGAGGTGGGAAAAAGTCCCCGGCTAAAGGCTTTAGCTACCTATTTGCCTCTCGCTTACTCCTATGCTTAGCTAGCAGTTTTCGTCGTACTGAGTACTAGGCTTTACAAAACGTTGAGCCGACCTGGGTCGCAAGCTTTAAATTCGCTGTTGGAATGGCGATATGTATTGCAGCAACTCCTACAGGCAGTTTTCCATTGGTTTTTGTGGTTTTCCTTCCATTTATAAATTGTTATTGGCACACCGCTTCTGCACAAACACTGCCAAAGATAACATTTTTTATTCTTTGGGCCACAGCTAAAGGTGTTCATCAGAATTCATCCGCTAAATCTAGTATTTTAGTGGTATTTTCTTACTATTTCCTTAGCTCAACTGAGTACCGAGGTGGGAAAAAGTCCCCGGCTAAGGGCTTTAGCTACCTATTTGCCTCTCGCTTACTCCTATGCTTAGCTAGCAGTTTTCGTCGTACTGAGTACTAGGCTTTAATAAGCACACATGTATGTCAATATTTATTTTGTTCAGCCTAGTACTCAGTTCAGCTAAGAGTTTTACTAGTCGAAAAATATTAATCTTTTAGTGAGACCGAAGTTTTCGGAGTTCATCCGCAATGCATGTAGCATGGTCTTACTCTCAGCAAACAAATCAACTGGCGCCAATTTTAAAATATTACAAAACGTTGAGCCGACCTGGGTCGCAAGCTTTAAATTCCCTGTTGGAATGGCGATATGTATTGCAGCAACTCCTACAGGCAGTTTTCCAATGGTTTTTGTGGTTTTCCTTCCATTTATACATTGTTATTGGCAAACCGCTTCTGCACAAACACAGCCAAAGATCAAATTTTTTATTCTTTGGGCCGCGGCTAAAGGCGTTCATCGGAATTCACCCGCTAAATCTAGTATTTTTTTAGTATTTCCTTACCATTTCCTTAGCTCAACTGAGTACCGCGGTGAAAAAAGTCCCCGGCTAAAGGCTTTAGCTACCTATTTGCCTCTCGCTTACTCTTATGCTTAGCTAGCAGTTTTCGTCGTACTGAGTACTAGGCTTTCTTATTAAACATATAATGCATTTACAAGAAACACAAGAAATTTATAAAAACTTAATCCTTTCATAATCAGTTCTTGTACAACTGACACAAATCCACAATCATCGGGAACGATTGAGCGCTTCGAAACGATCATTTTGTACACGAACACCCAAAGCTAAAAATGACATCATAGATCGTTAAGAAGCGAGTCGAGTAGTTGACCAAACCAGAAAGCCGAAGTATGAGCCGATCGTGATTATTCGTTGCCGAGTGAGTTTACCGGATCAAATGAAAATTCAGGCGCGATGATCGATCGTACTTGATCGTACTCCATGCAGCTCTCTGGTCTTGGTATACAATTCTTTTAGTTTTTGTGATAAATCTCGATAGGTGTATCACTCGTAACGATCGGACCATCATAGCAGATTTTCAATTATGCGTCTTTGTACACTTTCGTTGTGCCCTTCGTCACTACGTGCACTGCCGTCCACAGTGATCAATTTCCTTGCAGTTCCCGAAATTAGCACAAGGTACTGTCCATATATTACGTAATCACCTACACACAAAAACAAGAGGGAGATGGTGATGTAACTTTTTAATGAATGGTCCGATTTGAAAAATGTCTTCTACATTTCGATAGGTATAGGAAGCCCAAGAATGTGTGTGGGAAATCTCAACCTTCTAGCTTTTGTAGTTTCCGAGATCTCAGCGTTCATACGGACAGACGGGCATGGCTAGATCGACTCCTCTAGTGATGCTGATCAGGAATATATATACTTTATGGGGTCGGAAACGTTTGAGTTTTATAATAAAAGTTGACAAATAACCGTTATTCGTCGTGATCAAAAATAAAACTTAAACTTGATTTATGGCGATTTTGTGGGTAAAACAAATTAAAAAAAATATATAGTTATACAATATGCACGGTTGGCTTTTTTTTCGATCGTTCCTATGGCAGCTATATGATATAGTCGTCCGATTTTTAAAATATTTTAATCGAAATTCTGAAATATTTAAAAAATAACATTTCCAAGAGTAGAAGGTTTTATTTCAAAAAACACCGAAGACACCGAATTTTTTTAACGTTTCCTTCCTATGGGAGCTATAAGATATAGTTGTCCGATCCTGTTGGTTCCGACTTATGTACTACCTGCAATAGAAAGAAGACTTTTGGGAAAGTTTTAAGCCGATAGCTTCAAAACTGAGACTAGTTTGCGTAGAAGCGGACAGACAGACATGGCTAGATCGACTCGTCTAATGATGCTTGTCGGGAGCAGCCGCAGAAATCAATTTAAAATCATTTAAAACCCATTTATTGTTTGCCATTTGGTCAGCATTACTGACAACAACAATGTAAACCAAAGCTTCCAATCGTCTATCCTGCGTAAGATAAGCCGATATAAGCGACTGCGCTCGCTGCTCTCTCGGACCTACGCACTCTCATCATGTACATTCGCTTTTGATCGCTGGTACGAAGCAGTTCGTTCGCTCTCGCTACCACAATAAACGCATTAAAAATCGAACCACTTTTTCGGCTTTTCTTTTAGCACCGTTCTGACACACGCATAATTCTCTCTCGTTTAAATATTCGCAAAAAAGGTGGCATAAATTAATGCCTCCTCTAAACAATGCTGATCAAGAATATATATAAGTTATGGGGTCGGAAACGTCTCCTTCACTGCGTTGCAAACTTCTGACTGAAATCATAATACCCATTGCAAGGGTATAAAAACATATTAGACGGAAAACAGTCAGGGAAAGCGGTTCGATTGGTTAGGTTTTGGATCATCTTTATTAAAAATGGCATAAACAGTCGATTTAGCGTCGCTTGTGAACGGTTGTGTTTACCATTGTGCTCTGAGTTTTTGTTTTATATCGTGTTATTTCCGCAAGTATTTTGTGTTTATTTACTAACAAAGTTTAGCCTAACAATCGTGTTAGTGACTTTCATAGATCTCCCAGATTACGGGTACGTGGTTATAGTTATTTTAACATTTCCATTTGATTTATTTAATATCTTGGCTTTGTTAGTGTAATTTGCACTCTCCAAATTGGCTCTTATATTCTCTCTCTTACTCTTACTCTCTCTCTCTGCCGCTCTATTATAACTGTAATTTCACTCTCTCTGAACCTGCCGAATTTCTTGTAGACCTATTCTCATAGTCTCTCTCTCTCTTGCTTGCTTTACATCTAACTGTTCGTGCGTTGAGTTGTTTTGGTGCCCCACAAGCCTCGCTCAGTCGATAGAAGACTTTTCTCTCGCGCTCTCTTTCGATTTAATTCGCGATCTCGCGCTCTTATACTTTTTGTGTTTTTGTGATTTTGTGGTTTTGGAATTTGATCCCAGTGCCAAATTTACTTGAGGTATTTTTTTATACTTTTATATACTTTTTATTTTATTCTCTTTATTCTCTAACATATTTTTCTTATAATGACTCTTATCTGTACTAAGAAAAATTGTAGGACTGCATCTAATGACCCTTTTGTTTACTGTTGGCTCTGCGAAGCAATGATGCATTCTAAATGTGCAGGATTTACTGGCAGAGTTAAAGACTTTATTGAAATGCGGATTGGTCTCATGTGGGTATGTGAGCACTGCAGGGATTTGGCAGTTGAGATGAGCAGCTTTATGAGGCAGACTCGAGACGGCCTATGTAATCTTTCACGTGTTTTTAAACAGCTCAATGATGGATTTAATTCCGTATGTGAACAATTTAATAATAAAAAATTATTAACCGAGTCGCCCAAACGCAAAAAAGCTAGCTCAACGACAGTAAAGGCGAGTGTTGAATCCACGTTAAATCCAAACTTGGTAGCTGCTGCAGTTTCTGGTGACACAGGGGTAAGTGAACCATCTGTGCCAATGGATACTGCTAGTTCAGGTGTAGTCCCTGTCTCTGTAGCCCCTGTATCTGAATGTCAGGCTCCAGATCCGGCGGAATCAACCAATCCGGTGCCGACCATACCCATAGGTACTGTGGGCGCCGTTTCTGTCGCTCAGCCGAATGAGGTTCAGGCTGCTGCTGGGGGGCGTAAAAATCTCTCAGTTGTACCCAGACATACAGTAGGTGCCGCTTCTGGCTCTCAGCTGAGTGAGGTTC